CGCAAAATTGCCAAATCAACGAAAAATTGGGAAAAAAAACAAGCAAATGAATGGAAAACCAAACAATGTACAAACTGCAGCATTTGCATTATGGCGGCAATTTGATTTCAATTTCAGAGCATTTGTATCTGTACAGCTTAGATAGATTGCATTTAGGCCAACTGCTGTTTGCCGCCTGCAATTGCTGGCGAATTTCGTTACCATCTGCGTTGTACTTATTTTGTTTTAAATTGTTTGCTTATTTGCTTTTGGCCGGTAAGAATTCCTTGTTGATATGCGCTTCATCAATCCCTCACTTTCCTGACCCAATTTGCCGTTCGCCTCAACAGTAAGCCTCAAATTATTTGGTTTACGTTAAAAATGAGTTACAAGTTAAAAATTTACATTCGACCACACCCACCAAAGCCACGAGACACGCCCCAGAAAAAAGGTTGCCAAGAACGTTCAGTTGCTGAAATTAAAATTTCATACAGGGATAGCAGTTTGGCTTTATAAATTGAGCTTGTCTCAAGGCGTGACAGAATGCTTAATTCGATACATCGAAGGGAAGGAACCGGGTGGATTTAATTTAAAAAACATCTTTGGGTTCCAAAATGATTTTTTTACCTCAAATTAAGTTTGTTTCTGTATTGGTTTGCCCAACAAATTTAACAAACTCAATAACTATGTAAATAAAGAGTTTGTTTTTGATGCAGACCAGACCGTCAACACTACAAACACCATATCAACCCGAGACTACCCACGCTGTATTTGTGTAAGGTAATACTTAACGAGTGTTTCGAGTTTGTCAATATAAAACCAATTTATAAAAGCATATTTAAGTTAACTTTTAATATTTGGCATTACAAACAACCAAATTAATAAAGCCGATTTAATTTTATGCTCATTATTCTACCCGTAATTCCAAAACGTGGCTTTTTAAACAAAACAAGTTGGCGCATGCGTAGGCCCATTTTTCCATTGTTCTTTGGGTTTTGGGGCTAATTTCGTAGTTTGTATGGACAAAAGTGCGGTAGCCAAGCGGCTGAAATAAGGTCACACTGGCTCCACACCCAGCACTAATGAAAAGGTGGCATCGCCAGCTCTCTTCAAAACGGCCGATGCACATGTGGCAGACACATGCAGCATTAAACCAAACTAAAGTTTATTGTTGTGCGCATCGCTGGCCATGCAACAGAACCAACGGATTTTCATTGTTAGGGACTATTATTTTTAGTGCTTAAACTACTGGCTAGCAATGGGCTGTGGGGTCCGATGCTTTCATTAATTGCCGCCAGCCATTCTAAAAACGTTTTGTACACCAAAATAAGCTTAAATAAGCTGACAGTTTGTTGCACTCAAATTTCCTTTTATTTTCAGTTGGTAAAGTTAAAGTTTGTACTCATACTTTGTACCATAGACTAATTATAATTTCTACTGGCATATATTTTTCTTTCGAATATAATTTGCTTTAATGTTTCCTTGAGTCTAAAGCATGTGCATCAACTTAGCAGAACAACTTTTGATATTTAAATTTTTTTCTTTCTCATAATTTGCCGTTAATTATCCGTAAATTATTCGTGAAAGAAAAAAATTTGCCGCTTAATTTTTTTAAAAAATATTGGGTGTTCTGCTAAGTTGATATCAACTTAGCAGTACAACTCACTAAAACTAAACTTTTTCAACTTTTTCTTTTACAAGAATTTGCCGTTAATTATCCGTAAATTATTCGTGAAAGAATCAAATTTGCCGCTCAACTTTTAGATTTTTTATTTTAAAAAAACCTAGATGTTCTGCTAAGTTGATATCAACTTAGCAGTACAACTCACTAATATTCAACTTTTTCAACTTTTTCTTTTACAAGAATTTGCCGTTAATTATCCGTAAATTATTCGTGAAAGAATCAAATTTGCCGCTCAACTTTTAGATTTTTTATTTTAAAAAAACCTTAATGTTCTGCTAAGTTGATATCAAGTTAGCAGTACAACACACTAAAACTAAACTTTTTCAACTTTTTCTTTTACAAGAATTTGCCGTTAATTATCCGTAAATTATTCGTGAAAGAATCAAATTTGCCGCTCAACTTTTAGATTTTTTATTTTAAAAAAACCTTAATGTTCTGCTAAGTTGATATCAAGTTAGCAGTACAACACACTAAAACTAAACTTTTTCAACTTTTTCTTTTACAAGAATTTGCCGTTAATTATCCGTAAATTATTCGTGAAAGAATCAAATTTGCCGCTCAACTTTTAGATTTTTTATTTTAAAAAAACCTTAATGTTCTGCTAAGTTGATATCAAGTTAGCAGTACAACACACTAAAACTAAACTTTTTCAACTTTTTCTTTTACAAGAATTTGCCGTTAATTATCCGTAAATTATTCGTGAAAGAATCAAATTTGCCGCTCAATTTGTATATTTATTAAAACTAAAAAAGTGTTTCGTTTTGTTAATTTAATTAGCAGGCCACCCCGAATAAAAAAGACGTTTCCACTATTCTTTCGGCTTTGAAGTTACCGAATTTTATTTATCCGTAAATTATTCGTAAGAAAATGTTATGATTTTTTTTCTTGAAATAAATAATTTTTTTATTTTATGTTTTCGAATAAATATTAGTTGATTTTTTTCATACACTGCCCAAAATCACCCAAGAAAAATAAGAAATCATAATTGAGATTTTTGTTATATGTATATTGAAAACTTGAGGGTTTTATTTTTAAATGTGTCGATCGATCGCTCATCAATATAAGACTCGTCTGTCACAGATTCTTGCAAGGATTTATTAAAATTTCTTTTAGTTGACTCTTTTCCAGTCAAAACGTATTTCAGTACCTATTGTTTACTACATAAAAAATAGCGTTGCCACGTTTCGGTGAAAAACGCGATTTCTCCGAAAAAAAATAGCGTTGCTACAACGATCAACTTGCTCAAATCGTCACCGAATCGTGGCAATTTTTTATGTACTTACATAGTAAACAATAGGTTGACCTTAAATACATTTTGACTGGAAAAAAGTCAACTAAAAGAAATTTTAATAAATCCTTGCAAGAATCTGTGACAGACGAGTCTTATATTGATGAGCGATCGATCGACACATTTAAAAATAAAACCCTCAAGTTTTCAATATACATATAACAAAAATCTCAATTATGATTTCTTATTTTTCTTGGGTGATTTTGGGCAGTGTATGAAAAAAATCAACTAATATTTATTCGAAAACATAAAATAAAAAAATTATTTATTTCAAGAAAAAAATCATAACATTTTCTTACGAATAATTTACGGATAAATAAAATTCGGTAACTTCAAAGCCGAAAGAATAGTGGAAACGTCTTTTTTTATTCGGGGTGGCCTGCTAATTAAATTAACAAAACGAAACACTTTTTTAGTTTTAATAAATATACAAATTGAGCGGCAAATTTGATTCTTTCACGAATAATTTACGGATAATTAACGGCAAATTCTTGTAAAAGAAAAAGTTGAAAAAGTTTAGTTTTAGTGTGTTGTACTGCTAACTTGATATCAACTTAGCAGAACATTAAGGTTTTTTTAAAATAAAAAATCTAAAAGTTGAGCGGCAAATTTGATTCTTTCACGAATAATTTACGGATAATTAACGGCAAATTCTTGTAAAAGAAAAAGTTGAAAAAGTTTAGTTTTAGTGTGTTGTACTGCTAACTTGATATCAACTTAGCAGAACATTAAGGTTTTTTTAAAATAAAAAATCTAAAAGTTGAGCGGCAAATTTGATTCTTTCACGAATAATTTACGGATAATTAACGGCAAATTCTTGTAAAAGAAAAAGTTGAAAAAGTTTAGTTTTAGTGTGTTGTACTGCTAACTTGATATCAACTTAGCAGAACATTAAGGTTTTTTTAAAATAAAAAATCTAAAAGTTGAGCGGCAAATTTGATTCTTTCACGAATAATTTACGGATAATTAACGGCAAATTCTTGTAAAAGAAAAAGTTGAAAAAGTTGAATATTAGTGAGTTGTACTGCTAAGTTGATATCAACTTAGCAGAACATCTAGGTTTTTTTAAAATAAAAAATCTAAAAGTTGAGCGGCAAATTTGATTCTTTCACGAATAATTTACGGATAATTAACGGCAAATTCTTGTAAAAGAAAAAGTTGAAAAAGTTTAGTTTTAGTGAGTTGTACTGCTAAGTTGATATCAACTTAGCAGAACACCCAATATTTTTTAAAAAAATTAAGCGGCAAATTTTTTTCTTTCACGAATAATTGACGTATAATTAACGGCAAATTATGAGAAAGAAAAAAATTTAAATATCAAAAGTTGTTCTGCTAAGTTGATGCACATGTCTAAAGCCTACTTTGTGCTTCATCTGCCAACAAATCAATATTATTTACTCTTATTAACCATTAAAATTTATATATTATACCAAAAGTATCAGATCCACTTCTTGGTTTACCCTTGTAAAGGAAAAATATAATTCCAATAAAAAGTTTACAACGCCTAAAGTATATATTCCTGATCAGCAACAGGATCTGAATCGATAAGAAAATTTTAGGAAAGTTTTTAGCTAAAAAGCTTGAATCTTTTAAATTAACTTTTATCTTTTAATATAACGTAATTTTAAATCATAAGAAGATTTAAGCAAGTTTCTGAACATAAGTAAATGGGTAAACATAAAATTTTTATAAGAGCAGAGTGTTTTTAATAGCGGATGTTGAGTGTTTTTTGAACTGCATAGCACCTGTGTAATGCTTTGGCGGCGGAAGTCGTCGACCACTTTTTCTTTGACAAAACATCAAAAAACAAGAAAGGCAGTATGTTTTTTACCCTAACTGCTAAAGCAAATGATCCAGGCAATGTACTGTTTTGGCAGGTTCCTTTACAGGTCAGATGTCCAATGTAATATAACTATTTTAACAGGTTTCATAGTTTATTTTGGTTTCGACATAACTAGTCTAACTTTAAACAATGTTGCAAGTGAACGACTTGCAAGATAATTGATGTTTTTTGAGAGGATGGTGGACTTTAAAGTTAACGTAACTCACCGATTTGGTCTCCTTTAGTTATTGTCACTGTTTAGAACAAGATCTGAAAGAGATAGAAGTACTACTTTGAGTATATTTTAAATTCTAAAGAGGAGCTAATGAAGCTCCCATTGACACTAACACACACATCCAAGCAACCGAAAGCAAGTCGTAATCGAAAGATAAACAAAACCAACTGCTCGCCCCAAAAGAACATGTCCAACTTATGAGACAAGCTACCAATTTTAGGCACATGGAATCGACTTGGGTGAAGAAGCCCAGAACGGTGGTAAAAAGAACAAGAATCCGACGAGCGACTAGTTACAGACTTAGATTCAGATTTAGATACAGATACATTTGAGTGATCTCTTCGGTCGCCAACGTAAGCAAGAACTCTCGAGGTCAGCCACTTTTGTTATGAGACAGCCAGCAGCTAACGTGTATCTGTATCTGTATCTGTATCTGTACACTCTCCATTCTCGGTCACTCGGTCCAACATTTACTCTCATCTAAGACTTGGCTCTGTCCGGTTTTTATTTTGCCCGCAGTGCATTCGAATCTTGGCTGGTGTGGCTGCTGCTGGCGTGTGGTTTTACTTAATTTACTTTACTGTTATGTTTTTGCTTTCCGCTTGTTAGGCAAGCCAAGCAATCCAAGCGGTCCGAGCGATCCAAGGCGAGCGGTGCAGTTGCTCCATCGACGTGTGTATCTGTCAGATACTTTTCGGCTGGTTCTGACTGCAACTGCACCACCGTGTCGTCATACACTTGAACTTTCTTGGGTGTGCAACGGTGGCGTGGGCACAGCACAGCGCAATTTCATAACCAAAACTAAAGCCGCAGCGAAATGCCAAAGTTTAGTGCCAACGTGATTTGTAAACAACAACTTATTGCACTTCCCTCGTGTTTCGAGTTATTTCTACGCCACACCACACCATTTGATTGTGGTCAAATATAGCAAGGTGTTGTGGGTTCCTCGATTACGTAAATTTTTTATGCTCTTGCGGCATTATCAACCAACAAACCAAATTAGTGCAGCTCAAATCAATAACGATTTTTGTTCCCATTTATTGGGGTATTGACTATATGGCTTTCGTTTTTAATGGAGGCTTTCAGATAAAGCCACAAACAAAGAAGTCCCTCTCTGTTCCATTTGCACAATTTGCAGTTTATGAAGTTTTATTGCGCTCTTAGTCCCATATAAGCGATCGGGCCCGATGACCGATCTCCTGAACCAGACCACCTCGCTTAGCCGTGACCCAGATACACGCCAGCCTTTGCAGCTAATAATGTTGCTCTTAATGAAGTGGCCAATATCAAATAGATAACATCAAAGAAGACATCTGGGAAGCTGAGAAACCGAAAAACCCTTTTGTTAAGTCAAACTTAGTAACGTATTCCCAACGTAACGTTTGCCAAATTGAAAGATTTTGTTGCTGATCTTTAGTCTTTTAATATGTAAATTTCAAAAAGGCTGTCGTGCCAGATTTTAATGGATCATAAGCAGATGCTTTAGAAAACTTTAATGTGCTGAATTTACCAGAAGGGATCTCTGCTGGCTCTTCGGGGGAAAAAGGTGTTAGGAAGGGGAACAAAGTAAGCTTCCCCGGGACTGAGACAAAAGGCGTGAAGCCCAAGCCGATGATAAGTGTCTATAATGTCTATGAATATCCGGCTGCAGGCACACACACGAGGAGTAGTAGGCAAACAATGTCAGCCGAAGGATCCGCTCGCATGGGGGAAGCCGGCTCCGCTCCGTGAAGGCAAAAGGGTAAGGAACCATAATGACAACATGACATGCGAAGTTTTGTCAAAGCCCAGACAGCAAACAATGTTCGAGTTGTGGGACGGGACGAGGACGAGGATGCGGATGATGTGATGGCTAAGATGAGGATGAGCTCGCCCTCGCAGACATAAGTAGCCAATGCGGCGGGATGCGGGCCTTAATCAAGCCTCGGAGCGGGGGCCTTTTGTCATCTTTTGCCTCTCTTACATTTTTGTTTGGCACGTTATATGAATAACTAATTGAGGACCGTACACCACAACACGTAGACAACGTATTCGAGGTAGGAATGTGGCAATGCACTAAGAGAAACAAAGAGTACATTGCCTGAATTTCTGTACATGTTTTCATTAAGATGAACTTCTGCCAGATGCTTTTTTCTGATCAGTAAGTAAATACTACCGAATAAGATCTTTAATCTGTCAGATTTTTAACTGTCCCAAATAGTTGGGCTCTGCTCGAAGACCTTCTCCAGTGCAAGGCATCCATTTGAAAGCCAGGGGCCAGGGGCTTCGGGAAAACGTATTGTCAGAGCCGACAAACCATGACTGGGCATAACAACCAGCCGCCGACTACCAACAACCAACAACCAACCTCGCATTGAAATCTCGGAGCCATGAAGAAGTGGAGTAGGACAGCAGCAGCAGCAGAGGCAGAGCATCGGGCCAGTTCAGCGTTCGATCTTCGGTTCTTGGCTCTGTGGGCTAAACTGGTAGCACGTTTTCTTCCTCCTTTTTTTAGTTTTGCTTTTTTTGCCAGTCCAGGGCTGAGTCATCCTCAAGACGGCAGTCGGTAGTCGGTAGTCGGCTGCCTGTGTTTTGCATTAGGCCAAGTTCGATGACTAAGCAGACGTGATTTCAGGTTCTCCCTTCGGCCGGCCGGCATAACTTCAATGTGACCACATCTCGAGCTTGATTGCTGGATAGCAGATGTTGTCATGTCCATGGTATAATAAGTACAAGGTAGTCTCGTCGGCTTTTTTTTCCCCTATCGACACTACAATTAGAGCGAGAGAGAGAGTGTTTTCCTATGGGTTCGGGTCGATAGGGGAAAAAACCCGAACGATTTTGCAGCCGACGAGACTACCTTGTATAATTCTACCATGGTCATGTCCATGTGGTCATGGCTGCCGGCCAGCGAGTGTGGGGTGCTCTTGAACTTGTGCGGGGGTCCAGTTAGTGCTTGGGTCAATGAATGTGAAGCTGGGTTTGGCTAGAATTCCAAAAGGAGAGCTGCGATTCTAACGCTTTAACATTTCCGCACCTTTGCAAAGGGTTAACAGTTACAGTCAGAAGTTCTTCTTTATTACCAATTCAACTCATTACACTCTTGTTATGTATTAAGTTAAAGGAATCACATTAATGAATAGTCGACAGCTTTTAGTTTGCGATAGTTATCGTTTTGAAAATACATCCCTGTTTTTACTTCTTGTTCTTTCACCATGATATGTAATTGAGTTTCAATAAGAATAAAATATACGATATCATAACTCTCGAATCAGATTGCTTGCTAAAAATCAAAGTTGTTTTTATATTTAGTTAGATTACAATCAGGTAATGATTCCTATTTGGTAAGCACTTAAGTTTACTGGGAAGTACTATCGAACGAGCTTTATTAATTTTATTATTCCCTCTCAATACATTTCACGAGCAAATTCGTTATTAAATTACTTTTCAATCAATGCATGCCTAAAACCGAAAAAAATGAAATAGAAATGCAAATAAGTTCCAGCTTCCAGGAGTAACAACAACAAATTACCGATTTTTGTAATTACAAGTAATTTCCACAGCGGAACGGCGTTGCCTTACGGCCGATAACTTTACCTAGTTTTTTTTACCTAGTTCAATTGGCTCAGCCACTTCCCTCAGTTCCAGTTTATAAATCGCAATCAATACTAAGTTTCCATTTCATTAGCATTCAAAGTTCAGCGTCTCCCCTTGTACAGATACATCAGTACACAGATACTGCACACTCACAATTACAAACAGAATTCAATGAGTAGAATCAGCACAATGATCGTGCAAAATTAATTTTCCTCTAAACTACTTTTGTGATGTTGTTGATCTCTAATTCTCGTTTTTGTGCTCGTTCACTTTTTTCTTTTTGTGTTTCTCAACTGAAGTGGAACAGTTTTGTTTCGCTTTTGCGTTTAGTGGGGCGATCGATATTTGCAAGTTTATAGCTTGCCTTTTAACTTGCGATCGAAAAAGCTAAGGATTTATTTATTACAGTTAGTCCTGTGCTTAGGGGACCGCTTACAAGGGCTTAAATCAACATAACTTAAGTTCTTTCACAACAAAAATTAAATGAAGTCTTTGAAAAAAAAATTTCAAATATATGGTTTCGTTGAGAGTAAGTAATTTATCAAAATTAGCAGACTAACAAAATGTATCAAATTTAACATATTTTAGAATGCCCACTGTAATTTTTTCGATTATTAAAATACTTTATTGCATTCCCACTGCATTCCCTCTTGCCGGGTCCCATTGTTACATCAGTTAACTGCAACTTTAAGGTTTTTACCTACGCCGCACATCCGCAGCCCCCACAAGTGGCATGCAAAATACTTTTGCTCTCATACCTTGAGAGAACCAGCGAAGCATGCAAGTACAGCTGGCTTGATAATCCCCCTGCTTTCTGACAACACCCCATAGCCCCTTATTCACACGCACTACGCCTCGAAAAAGCAAAGCATTTGTAGCAACTGTCGGAGGAGCGCCATCTGGCGTTCTGCATGCGAAAATCGGTTTAGATTGCACTGCGACCAACAGTGTTGCCAAATCAGCTATTTTTCGAACCGTACTTTCCGTAATCTTCAGCGTCGTTTAACAGAGAGTAAATACGTTTTTAATTAGCAATGGCTGCTTCTTCTGCTTCTTTCTACTATTTTTAATGTAACCAAAATAAAAATAAAGTTTTTTGGCAAATAAGACTTTTCGAATTTAATTTGACTTTTTTTAATGCCGCAAACGGATTTTTTTGACTCATCAGGGATGACTATCAATAATACATATTATGTATGGACGTTCAAGCTTCAAAGCTTTTTTTTGTTTCAAATAAAGATTTTATTTTTTCGTAAGCAAAAAAGCCCGTGTAAGTTTATGAAACCATTTTTCATCTTAACTTTTAATTTGTGGTTCATTGCGGTCGCGTAATCAGGGTGTAACAATAACGCGTTTCGAATGCTCCGATGTCCGGGCGGGGGAGACCTACAGATACAAAGCGTCAGAACAGTACAGTAGTACAAATTTGCAAATACTTGCTCTGCCGCGCCCTCTCACGTCTCACATGTTAGTCGAGCTGGTCCGTTCTCAGCAGCGAATATGCGAAAATTTGTAATGCTGAAATCGTACGTAGCCAACAGGTTTGCGGGCTCTGCCTTCATACTTTTGCATTAGATTCTGAGTTAGTTGCAGATTTGTGGCTGCGATGTGCCTTCGATTGTCGGGCTTCATGGTTAATTAAACCTCGGCCTTCAATGATGTGATTTAGCATTGGCTGTGTGCATTGAAGATTGTAATTCTTATACCCAAACTAATTTTCTACAAAAGCAATTTGAAAAATCCGAATAAAATAAGTTTTAGAATGTCTGTTTCGGTGACCGAGCAATAAGTTACATTTGGGTGTGCCTCTTAATGACCACCCAAAAAACTGCCCAGCCCCGAGTATTTGTACGGAATGTGTGCTTAATGTAGGTGCTTACAAACAAATTGGTCAAATGGCATTTTAAAAGAATTCACCAAATTGATAAACAATCGAATCTAATTACCGTTAAAAGCCAACTGTGAATAGCAATAACTTTTTGGATAACCAGTGGGTGGGTGTAGAAGGTATTCAATCCTTCAATACTCAGGGTTCTTTATAAGTTTAAGAAGTACATATATCAGGTTTATATTTCGATCATCGAAAAACAAGTCATGGCTAGAATTTTGATATTGAAAGTTTAGCAGTAGCTTTTTTTTGCCTTTTGTTTGAAATTAAAAAAAAAAAAAAAGAAGGAGTAAGTCAAATTAGTTGTATACCAACAAATTTTTTGACCAAATTAAGTCAAGCCAATCTACTGCTCCAATTGCTCAGGACAATACGTCGATGTGGCGGCTAATTTTAGTTGAAGTTGGAGTACTGTGTCATATAAATGCTATTGGAACATCAGAAAAATTGATTTGTTGCAAAGACGTATGAAACGAGTCTTTTGACAGCCATTGGTAATTTTCCTTCTTGTTTGAATAACTCATCAGTTTTATGGAATATTTCATGTGCAGAAACAGGGATTTTGTTTGGAAACAAGGAGCTGGCAGCTCGACATAGATCATTTTCCGAGTTATTTTTAAAAGAAAGCACCAAGGAGACGGCAACCCCATACACCGAACACACAATCTACCTTTACACAAGCCTGCAGTATCTGGTGGATGCGTTCAGAATTCATCTATGTATCTCTGGCCGCCGTTTCTGCCAGCCCTCTATATGTTCTGCCCCTTTATAGGTTTCTCTCGAATGGGCTGGCTGTCATTTTGATTTCGCCCGACATGTGCACTGCCTTTTATCTGGTTGCAGTTTGTGTATCTTGTATCTCGTAGCTGCTATCGTTCGCTGGCCATAGTGTGTGCGTATCCGTACACATGTAACTATAACGCTTTGTTGAAAGCAGACAAGTCTCGAGTTGAGTTCAGCCGCCGACTCAACACAGCTTGCATGTCAAATTAATTTCATTCAATTTAAATGCAATTTGACGCTGTTTCACTCGGTGCACTCACCGAGCTGACTCTCTGATCTATAAGTATCTGTATCTGGCAGGTATTCATGCGCCCGTGTATACATAGTATCCCATAGCTGCTGATTCAACGTTAATGATGCAATGCGCCGAGTGAGACGGCAAACTGTGCGTTTTATTTTGATGCCTTTTGATTAACGACCCTTGGCTAACATTTTTGCGCGATTGAGTGGATGTCGGGGACTTTGTTCATTTTGTATTTGTGGTAAGCTTACCTTTTAATATCTTGTCCGAGTGGGATATTGGTGGAAGATTTCTTTGTACAAATCTAAAAAAAACAAATAAGTAAAAAAAATTTAATAATTACATTTATTTTAACAATCTATCAAATTAAAAAATTAATAAGTCTGAATAATAAAATGCTGTTATTGTTTAGCTTATACGAGTACGCGGTGAAAACTCTTCACAGTAAGCTCTCAATGTGAAAAGTCTCCGTCTAAATTTGTAAAGTAAAATATTCCCAAGCTGAGATTTTTATAATGTAATTTTCTGTGGTGAAAACTATAGTACCCATTATAAGAGCAAACAAATTTGAAATTCTTATTACTTCTTACTGGTAAAGTTAAAGTCGGTTGAGAGTCGAAGCTATTGACTTTAAATTGTTGAAACCAAAATGACAAAATTTATGAGGAACATTTATTTTGTCCATTAAGACACATACTAAATATATATTCAAACGAAAAATATATTTTATTTTTGGAACATTTGTCTCACTTTATCGGTTCACATTTATTTTTAACAATCAAACGCCTTCTTGGCCATGAACTGAAAGCTTCGCAAAAATAAAAGCCAACTGAAAGGGAAAAACGTATTTCATTCATTGGCCAAAATGTAAACACGAGTCTGCTCGTATTTTTGCAGCTGGCCTCGACCAAGACTTCTTCGTCTCCGTTTTTTTTTTTTTTTCAGTTCGTTTCTGAGTAAACAATTCTCAACATTTGCTTTTTTGAGTTCAATTAATAAATTTCGTTTATATTTGCCCCTCTATAGATGGATTGTTTACAATTCAGAAAAGCTGAGGCGCAGTTCTTAATACGTCGAAAAATACACGCCGCGGAGAAGCACATTCCAGCTTAATCCATTTCTACTATGAAACTTTTCGCGAGCAAAATTGTTCTTAAGATTTTTTAAAGGTGCAAGGCAAGTAAACAGATTCTGATTCATATTTTTAAAAAGATAATCGCATAAGCTTTTTTCGTGCTTTGTTTTCTGTTGCTTTTTCGTGAAAGCCATAAAATGAGTCAAATTGTGGGTGAGAGTGTAAAAAGTTTACTTAAAAACAGAATCCAAATATTTTTATTTTTGGCCATTCGGGTCATAGTTCATTTTTTTACTGAACAAATATAGCAAAATAAATACCATCTTCCAAAGATAACATATTTGTGCCTTTCTATCCTTAAACCAATAATCTTAAAAACAATAAAGAAGCTAGCTTCGGCAAACCGAAGCTTATATACCCTTGCAGTCATCAAATATGTCAAATTAAATACATAAAGGCTAAACAGCATCGAAGCTATGACGATTTTTCTATTAATCTTCCATATTTTCAACTATAGATCATATGGGAGCTATATGATATAGTTTCCCGTTTTTGATAAAATTAAATTCGGTATTAAAGAGTCGTTAGAAAACTCTATATTCCAAAAATCTTGCTTGTCTGATGAAAGACAACGATGCTATCATTTTGTTTCCGTTATTTCTATATAGATTTTACGATCTTTCCTATGGCAGCTATATGATAACGTTGTCGGATTTTAATGAAATTTTTTTCTCGATTCAAGGGTTATTAAAAAAAATCCATACTTTGAAAATCATGCTAATAGGATTAGAAACAACGATATTATAATTTTTTCCATTATTTATATATATCTTTCCTATGGCAGCTATAGGATAGAGTTATCCGATTTTGATCAAATTTAAATAGTGGTTAGAAAACGCCATATGGAAGAAATCAAGTCGGTATGATCAAAAGCAACGGCCTGAAAATTTTTTATTTATTTTATCGTATTGGAGCTATCCGATATAGTCGGCCGTTCCGGCTCGTTCCGACTTATATACTGCGTGCAATAACTACACACCTTTTGGGAAAGTTCTGATTGTGATGCTGATCAAGAATGTATATACTTTATGGGGTCTGAGGTGTCTCCCTCACTGCGTTGCAAACATTTGACTAAAATTATAATACCCTTTGCTCTGCAAGGGTATAATAACAATAAATAATCTGTGTGTTTTGTACATTGTACATTATATTTATTAGGAAAATCCTATTAGGATTTGGTTAAGAGTTATTTGAACTTTAATATTAAATCTTTTAAATATTTCGATGTTTGATTTCGTCTAATGTTTCTGGTTGTTTTATCGTATTCAAAAGCTTTCGACTTTGTTACCCAAAAATTTACTGGCAGTCTATAATTTATGTGCATGAATAATAAATTAGGGCAAGGTCTCGCACCGAGGAGATTCTATAGCTTTATCTACATGCAGCCAAATCGAACGCTGAGCATAATTAAAAAATTTTTTTATTTCGCAAGGAAGTTTAAATCTATCGGAATAGAAATAACGGGTTATGTCAAGCTATTCGTACATTAACTTGATTGTATAATAAAGCAGCAAGTGGTGCTTCCAGTTTTGCCTCCAATAACGACCAAAACTTATGTTTACTAAAGGCTGTAAATAGCTATAACAGTTTGGCAATTTTCAGGAGAAAAGAACCCGATTTCTCGCTTCATTTATTCAGCTAAATAATCAATGAACGTGTGTTGTTTTGCTTGGCCATAAAACAGCTGCACTGTATTATGAACAAAAGTATTTGCGGTATTTTGTCATCTTCTAAGCATTTGAATGGCTTATTTAATTTTAGCCACAAGGCACCATTTGCAGTCAGGAACAATAGCCCAGCGATGACATAAGCAGCTATTCAAAGTGTGATTTCGATTTAAAAGAAATCAAGATGTGGCAACAATATTTGTTTTTGCTTTAGTATAATTTTTCTAATTCTCTTCCGTCGTCTTGTTGATGGTTTGTTGCTGTGTCCATGGCACCAATACAAGAAGGCAAAAGTGTGCATGTTTCGTTATTGATGTGTTTTTTGCATTATATTGCAAAATGCAAAACAATAGAGTACTGTGAAATCCACGGCGTACAGCAGCAGAAATGATAATTGGAGGCAAGCAATTGTTAGTTGCAGTTGCAACACATGGAACGCACGCACAGGTTATGCGCATTTTTTTGGCTTTGTTTGCTGCTAATTTTCTCTTAATTACACTTTTTATTTTTCTGCTAGTTTCCTACATTCGATACGCCAGCGTATCATCGAAATTATAAATACAATTTGTTAGTAATTTGTTTATTAAATTATTACTGAGGAAGAAACCGGGAAGCAGTGAGTTACATACGAATACATTTAAACGTTTCCAAATAAAAAGTTATTTAAAATTATCATTCCTAAAGGTTAAAAGTAAATGCCCAAGCCTATCCATAGTTCTTTCTTCATAGTCACCAGTGTTGCACTATCAGCTAATAAACGAGATAGCCAGTGTCACCATAATAAGCCATGTTTACGGCCCTCCGCCACTCGATGGCTTTGCAATGGTCTGGAAAGGTCCAATGCAGCAACTTTGTTGGTATTATGGCCCGACGCGGTTGCCGATGTTATTGCTATTGTCGTTTCTGTAGCCACAGTCATTACGGATGGTTGTTTATTTTCTGCCATCATTGGTTTTTCGGTTGTTTTGACTGCTATGCCTCGACCATCATCATCAGTCCGGGCCCCACGAACCTCCACAGTGATACTTGGTGTATTATGCCGACGGGTGCATTGAACTCTGGCCGAAAGTGATTGTACAAATCGGAGATCATCACTATGAAGAGAAAGAGGACAAGGGCGATGGGGAGGAGATGGGAAATATAAGACGAAGCCGGAGCTGAAAGCTTTCCATTGTTAACTAGTGCTCATCCTGGTCGCATCTTGTTTTTGCTAAAAGTCTGCGCCTAATTTATACCAAATCGCAAACGACAATGTTCAATCATTTACTTTAAAAACCCACAGATACATACCATTATTTCATTGAATTATTATAGTACTACTCGTTTTATCATAAAATGTTATATTTCGATCATTAAGTGATAAAGATTATTTGAATGTTAACTAATCGAAACACTTATTCTCCTCAAACAACTTATTTAAAAGGTTTTATTTTTAAATGTTGACAAAATTAAATTTTATAGGATAAAAATACCGTTCATCCATCTTTTTAAAAAATGTAGTTTCGTTGCTTTTATGCTTCGAATATCAAGTTAACAGATATTAACTAGCAATAGCTGAACATTCTCAACCAGCTTGTGATAATAGTAATTTAAAATAATTTAAATAGTAATAGTAATTTAGAGCCGAAAGAGTCGGCGTACTGAGTACTGCCGTCGTAAACTTTTGATTGATTGAGTAAAGCTTACACATAAAGAAATGTATTGAATTGATATTCATGCACAACATTATACCTTTTAACGTTGTCTTACATATTAATATTCATAGCCTAGATCAACGAAATTACCTATAAAAATAGGTCCAATTAATCAAAATTTAATAGAATCTTTTTTTTTTTTGAGCCGATAAGAAAATTCTTGGGCAATATAAGCCTTTAATTTTATTTTGTAGTAAAAAAAAAGTTGGCGAGCAAAACACCAAATTAGTTGACCGAACCAACCAGCCGAGCAAAACGGAGAACCGGAAGTTTACACAAGTTGACAGTTGACGGGTCGTACGGCATTGCCATAAAAAACAACAGCAGCGATTCTCTTTTGAAGCTTAGTCAAATCAGTCAGGCATATAGAACATTGACATATCGGGTGAGATCGCAGCATGCCACCGGGGAAAATGGGTTAGGAAATGGAGGAGGGACCGGGACCAGAAAGGAAAGGCACACACATCGATATGCAAAACCGCAATTTAAGAGAGCCCCCTTCACCCATTCCCCACACGAAAGCGGAACTCGGTTGGAAGGTAACCTTAGACAACGTGAAGCAAAAAAGAAGAAAGCATCAACAAAATACTCAAGAGGTAGACGAAAGCGCATAGGTTTCCGTTGACCGTTAATTAAAGCCGCAAAAGACAGTGCCGTGGCCTAAAATAGGCGCCAACTATCGTACACAGCGGAAAAAATTGATATTTTGACCTGTAAGCAGAATTCTGAAGTTATTTTGTTTACACGTCTTGCTTAAATTTGTTCAGCGAACTTAACAAAATAGCATACAATTGTTTCGCGTCCTGGC